GAAAGTACAGATAAGTCCTGGGAAATACAGATCGCCCCTCCCCCTTCAGGGAACCCCTCCAGGGCTGGGAATGGGCCTCTCCCCGCACTGTTCCTTCACCCTTGTCCCTGCATCCACCTCCCTCCTCACCCCAGAGCCCTCGGAAAGGAGTGAGCAGTGACCTGGGAGTGACAGGAAGCGACAAATCAGAAGTCAAGCCAATGAAGAGCCAGTGACTCAAGGACATTTGCAACTTCGCTTGGTTACAGGCTCTTCCTGGAGAGGCATTCTGCCCCCCTTCCTCTTGCCCCCTGCTTTTCAACCACCACCAAGCCCGCCCCAACACAGGCCACCAGAGGGACAGCCAGCAAAGGGGAAGGCCTACTGCCTCCCGGTCCCCTCGCAGCTGGGTCCCCCTCCTCTGGGAGTGGCCGGGCTCCCCCTCCCGCCCAGGGCCTCAGGAGGAAGCGGCTGGGCTTGAAATCGGATCTGCAAGGCCCGGTCGGTTTCACTTCGCTTCTCAGGGCTCAGCTGAGGAGTCGGGACTAAAAGGACACTCTGGGGACTCCAGGGGGGGCTGGGCGACCTGCACCCTCTCCAGAGAGGGCAGCAAATCTGGCAGGTCTTGGTCCAGCCAGAGCATCTAAGGGGGCAGGGGGTGGGGGTTGAAGAGCAGGGACCCCCGGAGCCAGACTCCCGGGGTTACTGGAGCTGGCTCAGCCCCTTTGGGCAAGGTGCCTCCGTTTCCTCACCAGCTTTCAAAGTGACTGGTGACAATATGAATGCTGGAGCCTTAGTGTGAGGATTAAATAAGCTAATGTATGCCAAGCCCTCAGCACCGGATGCATAAGACCGATGCTGGACCGCACTCTCTCCGCCGCTGCCCTGCTGCCCTGCGTCTACCCCTTGAAAAGTAGGAGAAAAATTCCAGCATCTCCAGGGACCCTCTGGCCAGTGTCACTCCCCTAAGGACACACTATTGACCTGGGTCACACACTTCCACTGCTGCCTGAGGACACTAAGCCAAAGTCTCCAGGGCTGACCCTTTCCACGTCCATGGGGGTCCCCAGGATGCACTGTGGGGGAGAGGGGTGCTCCAAGCTTCTGAAGCCCAGGTGCAGACTGCAGCCCCCTCTGGCTTCCCTCCTCCCCTCTTCACCTGTCACCTGCCAGGACGCAGAGCAATGCAGGGGCCCATCCTCGAAGGCAGGACTGAAACTCTGACTTCAGTTTGACCCGGGTAAAAGAGGTGGAGGTGAGAAGAAGAGTTCTCCTCCATAGCTCTGGATTTTGGGGGGCCCATGGGTGCTACTACCAGCAACAAATACTACACAAAACCTCAGCACGCTCACCCCCCCCCAAAAATACAGCCTTGTCCTCTGGGCCTAACCAGGTTCTCATACAGGTGCCCATAGGTTGTACTGCCAGTCCTCGGGGTTCTCTGTGCTCTCAGCCTCTCTACCCCCGTCATTTGAGCGTGAACCCCATGGGGAAGGGGGACACCAGTCCCCTTTGGATGCTGCAGGAGCTAGGCAACATTTTTTTTTAAAAATGTATTTTTATTGATTTTAGAGAGGGAGAGGGAGAGATAGAAACATCAATGATGAGAATCATTGAGGGGCTGACTCCTGCATGCCCCCTACTGGGGATCGAGTGTGCCACCTGGGCATGTGCCCTTGACCATAATCGAACCCAGGACCTTCCAGTCTGCAGGCCGATGCTCTATCCACTGAGCCAAACCAGCTAGGGCCCTGGGCAACATTTTAGGGAACGGCTGGTAGAGACCACCAGGACCCTATTCCCAGCAAAGGAGGGCTCCGGATGCCAGGGCTGCTACCCGGCCTGGAGCCCAAGTGCAAGCTGGCCGGGCCTGGGGGAGTCTAATGCTCCTCACCGGAAGGAGGCCCAAGACTCCCCAAGAGGTGTTTTTCAAGCTGTGGCTTGGGGAACGTGGGAGACCAACAGCTAAGCTTCCTTCCAAAGGCGCTGCAAGCGGAGAAGGGCCACGTCCAACCACACACTCAAGTCCCTGTGCAGAGCGGGCCTGGGGGGAGTCCTGGCTGGAGCTGGCCTTCAGGGTCTGGTTCCTCGTCCCAAGGTCAGAGAAGAGCCTTCCGGTCCACAGGTCAGGAGACCTGAGTGGGGTCAGCGTTCTCGGCTTCCAGGGCACAGTTGCTCAACCTCGTCCCTCCCTCCCTCCCTCCCTCCGCCCAAGCCTTATCTCTGGCATCAGCCCAGATCCTGTTCTTCCAAGGGACAGACTCCTCCCTCCCTCACCAGGGACAAGCTCCTCGGAGCCATGGGAAGTCCAGCCAAGGAGCTGGAGTCACTGCCCAGCAGCAGTCCTGGGCGCTCTGGCCTGGGAGCCTCCACTTCCAACCAACCTAAGTGGGCGGGGAGAGGGAGGGAGGGAGGGAAGGAGGGAGAGAGAGAGAGGCTGCTAGCACCTTGCCTGCCACACCTAGGCACAGCCTGTCCCGGCCACAGAAATCAGCCAACCACTCGGGAGTGGAGGGAGGAGGGAGGACTCCCTGAGCCAGAGCCAAGCCCAGGCCCTTCTGGGAAAGCTCCCCACACGTGTTCAGAGGGTCTCAGATCCTCTCCTCCCAGATCAACTTCTGCCTAAGCATGGATAGGCCCCGTTTTGTAGATAAGATTCATCTGCGTGGGCCTCCTGGCTGGGTCTGGACCTCAGTCAGTGAGTGTGGGAGAGAATGAGGGGAAAAGGGCGGAAATCCCAGGAAACGGAGGAAATCCCAGAAAACGGAGGGCACGCTCCAAGGGGAGGCCGCAGCTAGCAAAGAGGACAGGAGCACTCGGCGGTCAGTGGCCAGGGCCCGTACAGTCAGCGGGGCTGGGACTCCCCCAAACCGCCACCTCCTGGGAGCAGGCTCATTTTTTCATACTGGACCCCCGCCCCAACCCTGGAAAGACAGGAGAAGGAGCTTGGGTACCTCCCAAAGTCCCCTGTTTGTGGGAAGGAGCAGCTGCCCTCAAGGAGGAGGGCAGGGGTGAAGTCCAAGTTGGGAGGAGATAAACCACTCTAATCTGCTGGTCACATGCTGTTCACAGAGCAGCGGATGAAAGCTGGAACCCCAGGGCACCCCCACACTCAGGGCACACTCACAGCGGGGGTCCTGGCTACCCCAGGAGGACAGAGCCTCACCAGGGGCCTGCAGATGCCTCGTTTATTGTTTCGGGAACCCTGAGACCAGGGAGAGGTCTGGCTGGGCTCTGCTCTGGCCCCACAAACTCCCCTTTTGGGGGGGATCCATAGAGCAGCTCCCCCTTCCTTTGTGCCCTGTTCTTTGTTCTCTTAAAATCCAGTCCACCCTGGCGGTGGTCCCCTCCTCCACCCCAGCCTCAGGAAGGGGCGGAGGGAGGCGCGGGGAGTTATTAGAAACCCAGACTGTGCGAAGTTGCTTTGCGGGAGGCCCTCCTGCAACGGCCGCTCATTGTTTTCGGGGCTGAATGGAGAGGGCTCGCTCCGGTCCAGATGGCTGCTGGGGGGCGAGGATGAGGGGCAGTCTCCCCTAGCACCCCCAACCCCCTAGAGAGGAGAGGGGCTTCACAGCTCAGGGACCCTGTCTCCATTCAAAGGCGCAGACACAAGGACGAAGAATGGGCACCGTGGCCGCCAGCGGAGGCCGTGGGAGCCGGTCAGATTGCAAGCGGTGACAACCAGAAAAGAAACAGTATTGTGTTCCCCCTCCATTCTCCCAGGGAGAGAGAGAAAACTTCAGAGCCCGCGCTGCCGTCTCTCATCGGGAAACACAGGGAATCTGGTTTGAGTTAGCGGAGGGCACCCCTCCCCCCGCCCGGCCGGGTCTCACGCACACCCCAGGCTCCGGCTGGGTCCTCTCCCAGGAAGCCCGCCCAGCCTCAGC